AGTTAAATCTTGGTTAAGTGCTGCTATTTCTCCTGATATAATGGAAGGATTCTCTTATGCATCAACTGCTAAACAACTTTGGGACGATTTAGCTGAGAGATATGGTAATGCTAATGGTCCAATGCTGTTAAGGATAAGAGAAGAATTGATAAATCCGAAACAGGGAGATCAACCATTAGTCAAGTATTACAATGCCATAAAAAGGCTCTGGGATCAATACGAACATTGTCGCCCACTTCCAGAGTGTCCTCCTGCAGTTGCTAAGGTCTTGGTTGAGCGGGACAATGAGGATTAACTGGTGCAGTTTGTTTTGAGGCTAAATGAATCTTTCCAGATAGTCAAAGACAACATCATGATGATGGAACCATTGCCTACAGTTAAACAAGCTTATGCAATAGTCCTTCGGGTGGAAAAACAGAAGAATCCCCTTTCTGTCAACTCACAGTTATTTAGAAACTCTGCATACTCTGTTGTTTCCAATAGTAATTATCTTATTAATCATGTCAACAGTATCAGTAATCTCATGGTTGTTCCTAATCCCAGTACTGCGTTGATGACAAGAACACAGGTTGGTAAGTCCAAGAAGACTGAGACTAGCTATGAGTATGCTAAGAGAAAATTAAAAAAAGGCTTCTCTGTTTTGCACTCATTGTCAGAGGCCTGCGCATGATAAGGAAGGGTGTTTCAAGATTAAGGGATATCCAGATTAGTGGCAGGGAGGCAGAGATAAAGGACAGAAGAAAGCTTTTGCTCATCTTGCTGAAGCTGAGACTCCGATAGACTATGCTCCGAGTGCATTCTCCAGTTCAGACACAGATGTGAATGCCTTTATGATGAAGTTTAATATGCTGCAGCAGGAGCTTAGCAAGGCTATCAAGGGAAAGGCTGCTATGGATTCGAACAAAGCTTTGCAGCACGTCAACTTTACGCACCTTGGAGAGTTTGCAGGTACTCACTCTTTTCCATACCTTGATTCAGTTAGATCATGTGCTAGTGTTTTTTGGATTGAGGATACAGGCGCTACAAATCATACATGCATGAACCTGTAGTTTACTTAGAAATATCAAACCTAATTCGACTGTTACTCTTATAGCATTACCAGATGGTAGTATAAAATTAGTACATTCCACTAGTGATGTGACTGTTAGTTCCAAAGTTAGGCTATTCGATTCCTTACATGTTCCAAGCTTTAAATATAACCTACTGTCCGTAAGAAAGTTAGCTAAGACTTCCAACATATATTGTGGATTCTTTGCTGAATTTTCGTTCTTATAAGACCTTACCACTAAAGAAATCATTGGGGTTGGCAGGATTTACAAAGGACTCTACATCTTGGATCAGAGTTCCTTTGGGACACAGACCATAAAAGCTATTTTAGATGTTTTTTACCTAAAGTTTTACTCAGACCTTTTCCTGATGTAAATGAAAACATTTCTACTGTAACTACTCTAGATAAAGGTTTTTCATCTGTAACCATACAATGGCATTACCGTTTAGGTCATCCCTCTTGTAATGTCATGAAGCATCTTAATAAAATTCCTTCTGTTGATTCTCTTGAAGTTTCTTAGTGCGACATTCGTCCTTTAGCCAAACAACAAAGGAATTCTTTTCATGTCAGTCCAATTACTACTGTTGGGTGCTTTGAGCTTATTCACATTGACTTGTGGGGCCCATATAGTCATCCTACTTTGTCAAATACTCACTATTTCCTCACTATCGTAGACGATTCCAGTCGAGGGACATGGACTTTTCTGCTTAGGTATAAAACAGAGGTTCCCAATGTTCTTCATAACTTCTTTTTGTTAATACAAAATCAGTTTTCATTGTCGGTTAAGATAATTATATCCGACAATGGGACTGAATTCCTCAGTAATGATTGTTCTCCCCTTTTTTCTTCTTTTGGCATTTTGCATAAAAAATCATGGGCATACACACCACAACAAAATGGTGTGGTGGAGCGTAAGCACAAATATCTACTTCAGATTGCCCGTGCTCCCAGTTTCAGTCTTCGTTGCCGAGACATTTTTGGGGACATGCCATTTTAACTGCTACTTATCTTATAAACCGTCTCCCTAGTCCTTTACTCAATTGGCAGTCTCTGTATTCCATTTACATATTGTTGAGCCTGATCTTTCTGAACTGAGGACTTTTGGTTGCCTTTGCTACGTTAAAAACACCCAGCCCCATAAAGATAAATTTGCACCCGGGCTTTTAAAGGTGTTTTCATTGGGCATCCTGAGGGACAAAAGGGATACAAACTGTACCTTTTGGATGACAAAAAGATATGTGTGTCTCGTGATGTCATTTTTCATGAGACCTGTTTTCCTTATAAAGACTGTTCCTTGTTATCTGATCTTATGTCATTGCCTGTAGTTCCTATGTCTGACCACACTCTTGCTCCTCAGACATTTTCCTCTGACCCTGTAGCATCTTCTCCGTCTGCAGGGTCCCCCATTTTCCTTCGATGATGTTCCTCATTCTGCCTCTACTCCACCAGATCATAATCTATGGATAAGGTTGTCGTTTTGCCTCCTTCTACCTCTGTTTCCTTACATGAGGTTAGACATAGCACCAGAACCAAACATAAACCTCTCTGCTGGTTACAAGATTATGCACATCATGTTGGTCATCTCAACCATGTTACAATGATTTCTTCCAATTCGAAATTCCAAGCTCCACCTACTTTTCCTTCTATCTAGCAACCTTTTCTAAGTTCATCTTATGTTGATTTTTTAGCAAATGTATCCAAAATTCCTGAACCTAGTTCTTATGGTCAAGCTAAAAATAAGGTAGAGTGGGAAGAGGCTATGCATCGGGAACTTTCTGCCCTTGAAGAAAATCATACCTTGTATCTTGTGGATTTGCCAAAGGATAGGAAACCAATCAGGTGTAAATGGGTGTATAAGGTGAAGTGTCACCCCGATGGTTTGGTCGATAAGTATACGGCTCGTCTTGTGGCAAAAGGGTATAATCAAGTGGAGGGCCAGCACTATTTTGAATCCTTTTCTCCAGTGGTGAAGTTAGTCACTGTACGTCTTGTTCTTGCTGTAGCAGCAACCCGTAAGTGGCCTCTCCATCCACTAGATATCAACAATGCCTTTCTCCACGGGTATCTAGATGAGACTGTCTATTTGCAACCTCTACGAGGATATTTGAAAGCTCTTCCTAATCAGGTTTGCAAGTTAAAAAGGTCTCTTTACGGTTTAAAACAAGCCTCTTGTCAGTGGAATCTTAAATTTACTCAGAGGTTACAGTCTTTTGGTTTTCTTCAGTCACGGCATGATCACTGTTTGTTTCTTAAATCTGTTGGTGAAGAATTCTTGGTCCTTTTAGTGAATGTCGATGATGTCTTGTTGACAGGTTCTTGTTGAATGCTTATATGTGAGACCAAACAATTTCTTGATGATGCTTTTACGATTAAAGATCTGCACCATGCTAAATATTTTTTAGGGATCGAAATTGCACTTTCTGAAGCTGGTATATCTTTAAATCAACGCAAGTATGTTTTAGATCTTTTGCAAAGTGTCGGTCTTCTTGGATGTAAGTCAGTCTCTACGCTTTTGCCTAAAGGTCTCAATCTGGACGATGATCACAACCTTGTTTTGGTTGATCCTAGTGCTTATAGGTGCCTGGTTGTACGTTTGTTGTATTTGGGGTATACTCGACCCGATATCACATATGCGACGCAGCAGCTTAGTCAGTACATTCAGCAGCCCAGAGAAGTTCACTGGACTGCTGGTTCGCATGTTTTACGTTATCTTAAGGGCTGTCCATCTCTAGGTTTATTCTACAGTAGTGATAATGATCTTCAAGTGCAGTCCTTTTGTGATGCTGATTGGGGCAGTTGTCCCGTCACTAGGTTTTCTTTGACTGGTTATTGTGTATTCCTTGGGTCTGCTCTTGTGTCATGGAAAACAAAGAAGCAATCTACCACCTCCAGGTCTTCATGTGAAGCAGAATACCAGAGCATGGGTGCTACTGTTTGCGAGTTACTTTGGATCTCCTACATTTTGACGGATCTCAAGGTATCTCTGTCTTTACCTATTCGCTTCGCTTGCAATAACAGATCTGCTATATATATATATATATCACTGAAAATCCCGTGTTCCACGAGCGCACCAAACATTTGGAGATCGATTGCCACATTGTACGCAATCAGTTTAAGGTTGGCTTCATTGATCCGTATCACCTTCCTTCTCAAGAACAGCCTGCTGATCTTTTTACTAAAACTCTCTCAGCAGCTCATTTTCAAGCACTATTGTTCAAGCTTGGTCTTTGTGATCTCCACAATGCCCAGCTTGAGGGGAGGATGACAAATTCCCAATCTGTAAATATGGCAGCAGTTGTAAAACATCAGAGTTGTACAGATTTAAGTGATAGAGTAGTCTTAGATGACGTAGCTAATGGATTTCCATTATAGCCCTCCTTGTAATATTTGTTCATAGTTAATTAATAGGGACATACATGTAAATTCAAGATGATAGGAATCCTTACTGTAAGTATAAATACTTGTACAGACAGAATCTTCGGTAAGAGAATTAATACACTTTTTACGGGGAATCTAGTGTTTTCCCTTTTTTCGACCTTACACGAAACCCTAACCATGGCTTCCGTTGCATCTCTGTTTACTATCTTTTAGAAGGGGGCTTAGCAAAAAGTTTGAGGGGATGATGAGGGTGGGAATTATGGCGAATTTCTGAGGGTAATTCGAAACAGGATATATGGAGGTGAAAGTTGCATTGGGTTTCAATGCGGGTGTAAGCTGAGCCTGCAAGATAATTCCCACAGCCAAAACACACTTTCTGATCACTGTTTGCACTTTCGATGTGTTTCAGAGGATGTGAATGGCTGAAATGTCTTACCTCCTTCACTTTTGGAGCACCTGTCTCCGGATTGGGAGGCTATTTTACTTGGCTGCTAGTACTATCGGCTGCCGGAAAAGCAAATCCGGCTGAAGAACTTGCTGTTGTAGAATATTGTGGGGTGGATCCAGGGTAGCTATGAGAAACAGGGGAGTTATTTGGCTGAGGATTCGGATAAGTACTATTATGATGGTTGCTGGATTGAAAGTGGTCTCCTGTAACGGTTGCCGTTGGAGGGTAAGGCGGATGAAAGTTAGCAATACGATTAATATTCTGAGTTTGTTGCACTGGAATTGCAGGTTGAGAATTATAATCTTGATTTCCTACGAGATTTAGATTTGAAAAATGGGCTAGGGAGAAACAGGGGAAGCATTTTCAGGCAGGAAAGGAGGATTTGGATTGGACTTCAAAGCACAGTGGATATGAAGGTCAAAATCGCATTCAGAACAGCAATAAGAGAAGCCATTTCCGATGAGATCACAAGTGTTGCAGTAGAAGGAATTGGATGGATAAGTTGGGTATGGGACTAATGTCAAAGGATCGATGAGTGGTGTGAGAATGATGTTTCAAAGATTTGCTTTCCTGAAAGCATTGTTCATGAAGGAAATAACTGCATTGCCAACAAGCGTAGACGTTGCCGGAACCCGGAAACTTGCAGCCGGAACATTGAACGTCGGCCCCTTGTCGGGTTTGGTGAAAAACCAGGCCATGAACATGGCTAAAGTGCTTGTTTTCCATAAGTTAAGAAATTACAAGCTCACACTCACGGAACTAGCCCCAGATGTTTATGGCGTAGAATACATATATAAAATCTTTTTCTGAAATTTTTTTTAAAATTATAAGATAATTTTTTAAACAAATTTGCCGACCGCAGGGTCGGCCGACCACCCTCGCTCCCCCTGGTTCCGTCCCTGCTCACACTTCTGCCTACAAATTTTGAGAAACTGTTTATGTGTCTGTATTTTGACTTTTCAATTTTAGGAGGATGACTGAAAATGATGAGTGTGTGCATATATATAATTAGTGCGGAAGCTCTTCCTAAATTTGGATTAATGTTCTCCGTGGGAGTTAAGAGTATAAACAATAAATTAGAAAGTCTACTCTATGGTTTGTGATTATGTATGTATGTCTCGTTTCCAATGGGCTTCTTTCATACAGACAACAAACTGATAATTGATTCAATATTTTATCTTGACATTGACTTTTTGGAGTTTTTATTTTATTCAACATTTCGATGCAATCTTTATACCAAAAAAAAAAAAAAAAAACATTTCCATGGGAGCATACTCATAAGGCGAAGATAGGTATTAGTATGAAATAATTTTATTTACTTCATAGTTGCAAGACCAATCCACGGCTACTATTTGCTATTAATCGTGTTAAGATGCCAATGAATGTGAAGTAATTAGTGAAAGTGAGAAACACTGTAGTACAAATCATCTCATGTTCACGAGTAGACTTACATTGTCAAATAGTAAAGTCTTCCAATTATTTTTATTCATCTGCATGTACCGTATGCTAGCTAACTAGTTAATATATTCCCCCTATTAACGTTCCTAAGGTTTGCGAGCTAACCAGACATCGAATGAGACGTCTGAATTCAGCGTATTTCTTTTGAGACAAACTAAATAGTTTATTTTGAAGGGTTAGCTTCTATATTATGTATTAGCATTCAAAGTTAAAACGACACTAAAACAATTAGATTTCCAAAACAAGAACATATAGTTGCAATTAAATCTATCTATAATAAATATAAATAAACCATTTTTGTCCCAAAATTCCACATGTCATATTCTCCTTAAAAGTTGCTCCTCCAAGTCTTTCATAAAAATTAAAATTCCAAAAAATAATTTCTCATCATCATTTTTTTCAGCAGTTAACATCTATAATAATTCCAAAAAAAAAAAAAAAAACCCCGTACATGATTGATCTCAAACTGTATCTCACACTCACGAGCTATATGTAGTTTTTCTCGACAAAAAAAAAAAAAAAAAAACTCCATGAGTAATGTCAAACAATATTCCAAACCATAAACCTTCCCATCCTTCATCAATTTGGAGAAAGACCAGAGAATTTAGATCTGATAGAGAAGAGGCTGGAGATGCAGCGAGACAAAAGGAAAATGCTTACAAAACAAATTAAATTTCCGAAGCAGACTTCATACAACAGTGGCTGCGGGCAGAAAAAGGAATGGTGTCTTGATGATAAAAATCAATGTTTTAATATCCAAAGGTGCACATAATTGTCATGCCAAAAGTTGTGATTGAGGTTTGTTTTTCAATTTGACTCTCGATCAAATTTTTTTTTCTTAATTACTTATTTCATATTCCTCTTAGCCGTTTTGATTCTCAAAATCCAAAGATTTTATCTTCCTTATAACAAACGCTTCCATCATCAACCCTGTACCAGTCTATTGGGGTCTTAATTAGTTTGATTAATTGAAGATATGGAAGTCCTTGAACTATGACGTCAAATATTTGCAATGCAGTTCAAGAATTTTATTTATTTATTTGCACAAGAAGTCGAAGTGAAAGGCTGCTGCAACCTGTTGTTCAAAGCACTAGAGATAACTTCTATAAGATTAAATACTACTTCCTTCGTCCCACAATTATTATCCAGTTTTACTAAAATGAAAGATTTTATTTTTAATCAAACTTAACTATATTTTACCTTAAACAACCGGATATACTCCTACATAAGTAATTGTTTAACCACTAAAATTTTATGGATAATGTTTTTACTAAGGACAAATGTGTAACTTGATCCATAAAAAGTCAAATTGGACAATAATTTTGAAACAAAATTTTTTGGGCAAAGTGGACAATAATTATGGGACGGAGGGAGTAAATACTATTCTTGGGCGCTCGTATTTCTTAATGCTTGTCATCTATTATGTGTAGTTTTGCAAAAATATCTCTCCGGTGCCGGTTTCATCTTTTTATTTTATGATTAGTGATATCAAGTTAAAATTAATTATTTAATTCATTTTATTAACCTCAAGAGTTAAAATCTATGGTAACTTACGTGTGCTAAATAAGTCAACCATTAAGGAATTAACTCACGCCCCAAGTATACTTGGATAAGTTATTGTAGATATATTTGGGGCCTTGGGGAGGGCTTCATAATGTACTATATAACTTTTTGAGTTCTATTTGTATGAATGTGACAAAACGATATGGAATGTTCGCTCTTTTATCTTTCATTGACATAATTTATGCATAAGAAGGGAAAAAAAAACCTTTTACCTAATTTCATACCCGTGCGAATGCACCGGTCCAAAACTCTAGTTATATATTTTAAGAAAGGTTGATATTTACAATGGACCCGAACAGAAAGTTCATGGAGGTGGACGGAGTTCTTTGGTTCAAGGTTTCTTTGTCTTAACCGATTCTAGTATTTGATTCTAAAGAGAAGTGGTGCTTTCAAAATCATTTAGCCGTGTATATTTTCTTTTTCTAACTTTTCTCTAAACAAGTTTAGATATTTATAGATATTTCAGCATTATTGACTAAGTTAAGGATTACTTAGTGCAATGGCATTACAAGAAAATTGAACTGTTAAAATCTTCTTGTAGGCTTTTTTTTTTACAGTTAATGAATATATTATACTCCCTTAGAAAATAATATCTGCGTTGCATGGGTTCGATTTTTGTATAGATGTGAAAACAAATCTGATCACGTGAAAGGGCCTAACGATGTCTAAAAATTATTAGAATTCTTTTTTGATGTTTAGAAATGTCCTATTGCAGTGATGAAGTAACACCTGGGTTGCATCGGTTCGATTTTACTGAACAAAGTGAACAAGCTTACAAAAAACCTACTGGGATATAAGAAATGGAAGAAATCAATAAAACCTGTTCCTTTTAATGTCGATATATCAAAGACAAAAATTCCATATTAGTAAGTCAATTAACGCAATACCATGCAAAGGCAATCGACTACAAAAATTATTTGGAAATAGTATTATGGGACGAAAGTGGTTTTATATAAACACAATGACACACAAACTCATAAGAGTAATGATATTCTTCTCTACAAATATAACTCTATTTATAATTTTATTTACATGTCTATCTAGTTGGCACTCCACATCACCTCCCTAATTAAGCACGCTCTTAAATTTGTATGGGATGTGGAATCTTTTGGGCGCATCCAATCTTAAAACTAAACACAAAGCAGAATTACATTGCAAAAATAAACAAACTCTTTAAAAAGTAATGGCAAAACTAACCAAGCTAGAACACACTCGCTGGCTTTTGTAATCATCAACATTTCTCCAGGGTAATTAACGGATTCCACCACCCCCGTTATATGTACCTGTATTTGTATACTTTTTTTCTATCATCCCAAATTTCATTAAGGGCAAACTCCCTAACTTCCGCCCTTATTCGAAGTGCTTCTTGGGCTTCCGCAAGAGTACGGAATGATTCTTCTTCAGTTTCCTCAGCTCCTCGTTGAGCTTCAGCGTAAGCGCATTCGACATTCGTGCCGAAATCACATTCACGACAATAATAAACCCAAGCATTTTCGTCTACCGAAGCTCCACACACATTGCATGTAAATATGAACTCTGTGTTTCGAAAAGGATTAGAGTAAAGTAGCTTCAGGGGATCCGCATAATCCTTTCGAATAACAGTTTCGGGCAATGCAGCAGAATCAACATGAAGATCAAACGAACACTTGGCACAATTGTATACAAACCCAGACCCATTCTCGCGACAAGCATTACAAGTGAACTGATCGTATTGGTAATGAGAAGGGGGCTTAGGTAGCATTTTGAGAGGATGATCAAGGTGGGAATTATGACGTATTTCTGAAGGCTTGAAACACGATTTGTGGAGGTTGAAATTGCATCGGGATGCGGTGCAGGAGTAACCTGATCCTGTAAGATCATCCTGACAGACAGAACAAATTTTCGGATGATCTTATGCAATTTCAATTTGTTCCACCGGATGTGGATTGGTACGCCTGGTGGGACCGATTTGTTTAGTCTTCACAACCAAATAATTTCTTGAAGCGAATCTGAAATTTATTGGTACTTTACGATGATCATCGGGTCGATTTAATGTGCAAATTCACATAAGCTCTCAAGTGATTCGAAGCAAGGGGCAATTTCGAGGATTGAAGTTTCAAGAGATACATCTTCTCGAAGGGGCAAGCATCCCTCGAGCAATACACTATTATTCAAAGTGTTCGAGAAGACGTATCTCGACTTTCATAATATCTTCTCTGAATTGAGGTAACACCTTCTCGAGTAATTAATTTATTACGAGATCGAGGTATTTCTAAAACCTTTTCATGTTTTAATATTTGATATCATTATCATATTATTCATATCACGATATCTTTTGGAGTACGATCAAAGAAGTTCTTCAAATTACTAACCCTCTCATGGTAAAATTCTATCACCCTTCAACGAGAAAAATGTACTCGGGGGCACAAACATGGACATACCCTTGGGGCAAGGAATTCGAGGGATTATCCTAATATCCTCTGTTTGAATTGATATTCTTTACGAGCATCTTATTACTATATGTCATTCCTTTATTATTATTATTGCAATATCTTTGTCGAGTTTAATGGCAGAATCCACAAGCTCGAGCCACTTGAGCTCAATCTCCTAAGAAGTCCTTATGCACCACGTTCCTCGAGAAGACCACCACCTATCGACCATTGTCCTTCCGAGGACCTTCTTCTGTCGATCATTGTCTTTTCGAAAACTCTTCTCCAGCGACTACTCATCCATTCGAGGACCGTCCTCTCACGGACCATTGTCTCTCATTGAGACCGCCTTTTCATAGACCTTTGTCCTCCTGAAGATCGTCATCCATTCGAGGACCGTCCTCTCACGGACCATTATCTCTAATCGAGACCGCCTTTTCATAGACCTTTGTCTTCCTGAAGATCGTCATCCATTCGAGGACCGTCCTCTCACGGACCATTGTCTCTCATCGAGACCATCTTTCATAAACCTTTGTCCTCCTGAAGATCGTCCTTTGGAAAGACCTTCCATTGTCGACCATTGTCCTTCTGAGGACCACCCCTTGTCGACCTTTGTCTTTCCAAGAACCCCGTCACCGTCGACCCTTGTCCCCTCGAGGACCTTCTTCTGTCGACCATCACCCTTTTGTTCATCTTGCAGGAACATCATGTTCGAGAACTGGGGAAATATTACAGAAGTCGATAAGCCGTCAACACTCCAGTCTCGTACTTTTAGCAACCCATATTATTCTCATCAAGTCTCGAGAATATGGCTTGCTAGGGGCACTTGATGAGTCCTAAAATAAACCCTAACCCTAATGGGTTTTGAGCCGGCTACGTTGGAGGCTAAGTCACCGCCTAAACCTATTACGACTAGGTTTTAGGAAACAGATAACACCACCTCTTTATATAGAGGTGGTGCCTCTCCCATAATTCATATCTTCTACCTATCTTCTACACCTTCTACACACGACACACATCTCTCTCTCTCTCTATTATCTTTATTCTCTTATTGACTTAAGCATCGGAGCGTCTACCCTCGAGAGACACCCGAGGCTCTGTCTTGCAAGTTTTACGTTGTCCGCCGCAGCCTAGGTCATCATCGTCGCCCGTCCTAAGCATCGTACAAATTCATGCTTCGTCATGGATGGCCAAAATGCTTTATCTCCTCATCTTTTGAAGGATTACTCGTTGATGAAATCGGACTCGGGGCAGGTAACGGATTGGGTAGAGATTTTTCTTGGATGCAACTACTTGCTGACTCCGGCAAATTAATCCCGGCTGAAGAACTTTCAGTTGGAGGATATTGCTGCATATTGACTTCAGGAAGATAGGCATTCGGCAAAGTTACTGGAGTAGTAGTAGACAGAGGATTCGGGGCGTATAGTAGAGGATTCGGAGTAACATTTTGTGGGATTGAGTCAGGATAGTTTTGAAAGACAAGGGAATCATTTGGAACAGAACTCGGGTTAGTATTAGTATGCTGGACCGATTGGAAATAGCCGCCAGTGGGTGTTAATGGGGGATAAGACGGAGGAAAGTTGGCATTGTGGTTAATGTTCTGAGTTTGTTGCGCTGGAACTGCATCAGGTTGAGAATTGGAATCTTTGTTTCTTCCAAGACTTAAATTCAATAAGTCAGGATAAGGAGAAACAGAGGAATTTTTAGGCAGGGGAGAAGGAATTGGATTGGATTTTAAAGCACAGTGGATATGAAGGTCGAACTCGCATTCATAACAGCAATAAGAAAAGCCATATCCAATGTGACTGCAAGAGTCGCAATGGAAAGAATTTGTAGGGTAAGTAGGGAATGGGGCTAACACCAAAGGATGAGCAATGTGGGAAGGATGTTTCAAAGATCGGCTTGCCTGAAAGCATTGTTCGTGTAGGAAAATAACTGCATTGCCAACACGCGTAGACGTTGCCGGAGCCCGGAAATTTGCAGCCGGAACATTGAATATCGGTGGCGCCTTGTGAGATCTGGTGATAAACCAGGCCATGAACATGGCTAAAGTGTTTGTTTTCCATGAACTTAACCATCTCACCTCCTGCCTAGAAAATTTGGAAAGCTTTCTGTTCGGTTTTGTGTTTTGAATTTCACGAGGATGTGTAGTACATATATAGTTCAAAGACAGGCTAGTTGACTTTTACTTACGGACGAATTTATACATCTTTTTTTGTTTTTTAATAGTAATAGACATTTGGTGTCCAAATTCACTAATGTTAGACCTTTTTCGAATGTTTAAGGTTTCTTTGATTTCAAGTTCCAACTTGCAAAATGTTACACTTTTGTTCGATATTAATGGTTGATCACTCACTTGAACTCTGGTGTTTGTGCAAATTATTATATCGTACGTTTTCTGCCATCACTCGGTTAAGATACTGCACGTTGCACAAACGCAAAGTGAACAACCGAGTCCAAATGTACAACATGAGACATAATACACTGAAAAGGATAAACTTCGACATAATCTTGCACAAAAAAAAAAAGAAAAGACTTACATAATTAAAGAAAACTATATGAAAAAGTCTTCGAATTATTCGTCTGGATCGTATGTTTCGGATCAGAAGAATTCAGAAGACAACTCCCCCACTTCTGGTAACAACTTAGGCATTCGGATCCATCTGCGTGGACAAGATTACTTACGTCCGAACATATGTTGGCAGGTAGCACATTTTAGACTCCCGCAGTTTCATTTTCATAATAGTACAATTTATTGAACTATTCATTGTTCAACTCCGTGAATCATTAACATGATATGGACAGAGTATTTAAGTTCAGTGTATTTTTTTTTTAAACAAAGCAATATTTTGCTTTAAATGAACAAATTCTATAACCAAGCCCTGAAAATAATACTACCACATATTAACCATTTAATTAGTGTCGCACCGAGTATAACACAAAATCATCACAAAAAATCATGAGCTTAGTTAGCAATGAACAAAAAATTAATCTTAAGATGATGTTTTAATTGTGTCTTTCAACTCTTCATCAGTTCATACATATCTCATTATCATCATCAATATAGAGAGAATCAACATTGAGAATGATAGAGTCAAAATTACATCACAACTGCATTAAAATCTTTATGTGTATAATATGCCCTTGGTGGCTCTTCGAGATCACAGTTAGGACTTCGCTAACAACAAACCAAAATCTATGTCTCCGCGTATATATAATCAATTAAATTAGGAGGTTACAAGATACTCTCTCAGTCTCTCTGGTCCTTATTTTAAGGTATTTTAATTCCTCCTAAATTTTATTTATCGTATTATTTTAATTGTAAATAAATAGTTAAAGTATATTTTTTACATTTATTGTGTTCTTTTAATTATTATAAATATGTTAAATGTTTCATTTTCAATTGGAAATACACAACAAATAAAACATATGAAAAATCAAAATGTCTTATAATATGCTCCATTTCACAGGTGGTGGAATTGGAACCCGAAACTCATTGTTTAAAGTTCTCTACTTGTGTTATCCCTTGTTTTTATTTTATTTTTTATTTTTGTAAGAGATTAGTAAATAATTTTCCAGATATAAATGAGACTAATCAAAATTAGTAGTGTCTCAAATACCTAACAAGCTTACTACTAAATTACAACTTTTATTAAACATTGATCAATTGTGATAATTGAAGTGTTTTGTGTTTTTTGATAAATTACTACTTTTATTAAACATCGATCAAATGTCTGAAAGTTCTTATGAAAAGAAAGGAGGAAATAACGTTTTCTACCGTCCTCGATGAATTTCTGTCAGATTGACAGTGAAAGAGAGGTGTTGTTTATAGTTTGCTTGCTACATTTTGTAATTAGTTGGATTCGAGTTTATTACAGTTCATTTGAACTATGCAGAAGTTTACAAAATACCTTCAATTTTGATTTTGTAAGAGCTGTGGCTATACATGTTGAAACTTGCAGTACTACTTACCTGCAATTTTCTATCTGAATTGAACCAGAACTAATATAAAATAGCGTATGTGTTCATTTAGAACGGCCTAAATGATTTATGTTATAAAAAATGCTAACTTTAGAAGAGCTCTAGATACGTTGGGAATTGGAAAAATCCCATAAAGTTTACTAGATCTATCTATATTCACACCTTAACTTGCGGAAAATACGTGTTCTCTAAAACATACATAAGTCAACACCCCACAACAGTAACATTTAATTCCTAGTTACCTTGGGAACCAATATCAAAGAGTAATTTGACTTCTGGTGTTTTGAGCCTTGACGAAAACAATTCATCACTTTTTTTTTATGTGCTGGTAGCATGGTGAGTGGAACTATATCGTGAAATAAGACCATGACTAACGTTGTTGTGTGTATTACACATAATATTATGTGTTACGGAGTAATACAAATATGTGCAAGTATAGTGTGGTTTGATGATCTTATCATATAATACCTTACTATTCAATTTATCATATCTTCTATTTTTATGTTTGTAGGGTATCAATTATCGATTATAGTAATTAATCTTTTAATTTTTTTGTTGAATAATAAATACTTTGATTTTTATTTTTATTTTTTTGCATAAATACTTTGATATTAGAAGTAAAATTGTTCAGTATCTTATCTATGACATGACACGGTGAAAGGCAGAAGAGTCCTACTCTACAACAATCTTTTTGGTTTTTACTGGTCCTTTCATCACTTATTTCTTTGTACTTATAGAAAATTAAATAACACTTACGCTTCTAAAATTAGTGTCCAGTTTTAATTTTTATTTTTAATGTAATTGAACTATAAGTGAAATTCCTAACTGGACAATAATTTCGAGATAGAGGAATACTCACTATTTACATTATGCTTTGAGATATGTATTAGAAAATCCTAGTTGAGTTTTGAAATTTATATTAAACATTGCAATATCTCACAATTGAACGGTGGATTATTTTTCTGAAATGACGAGAGTAACTTTTTTTGTCTTTCTGAATCTTGAGTCAATCATAACTCAACACCGACACGATTTAAAAATTAGCTCTTTCCCCCGTAATGCATTAGATGTGAAAAATGATCATTCCTAGAAGAAGCCGACACAGAGCAGCCAGCATCCCGGCAACAAGTACGCTGAAATAAAGAATAAGAAAACGTATATAAATCTACTTCATCATTAACTCAGTTAGTTGAGCTGAGGAATTGAAACTGGAATCAGCAAAAAAGATGAAGCCTCAAGATTTCAATCATTTCGGTCATGAACATCTACTAATTCCTCTGGTTCTCGACGAAGACGACGAGCTTTACTGTAAAGCCTGCGATCATCTTATCGTCCAGCCATTCCATGGCTGCCTTTCCTGCAATTACTATCTCCACGACGAATGCTTAAATATCCCTCGATCCATTCTTCATCCTTCTCATCCAAATCACCCTTTGACTCTGCTTCCAATCCCAACTTATCCCACCAGTTCATTCACTTGCAATGCTTGTCAATCTCAAGGGCTCGGATTCAGCTACAGCTGCGCGCATTGCGAGTTCGATGTTCATATCCGGTGCGCATCGTTGCCGACGAAATTGAAGGTTGGTGAACAGCATCCGCACGAATTGAAGCTGGTTTTTGAGTCGCTAACAGGGCAGGATTGCAGGAAGTATTACTGCAGTTTGTTTAAATGTGAAGTTTGCGGGGTTGGGTTAGAGAGTGATTGTTGGAGGTATTATTGTGATGATTGTGATTTCGGGATGCATTTGGGTTGTGTGAAGATTGATAATCAGGATGTGGGATTGATGAGCCATTCTGCAGTGGTGGAGGCGATCAAGTCCGGCGGGTTGGAGGGGAAATCCGGTACGGCTCAGGCTGTTTTGCTGGCGGAGGATAAGACGGTGGATGATGATGTTGAGAAGATGAAGTTGTCGGCGTCAGTGACAAAGATTGCCAAATATCTATGAATTTTGTCATTGTACCTATCTTTTGTGTTTTTTTTTTTTTTTGTTGAAGAAATCCTTCAACTGGAAAGGCTGTCATTTCTCAATTTGATTTGTTTGTTTAGATTTTGAATTCTTGCTTTTGTGCACACAATGCTGGTATGATTTCAGGGGAAATCTCAATCTGACACTAAAATTTAAGATCTTGTTGGTGTTCTTTAGTACCTTTTCTTTTGTGTTGGAACTTGGAGGAATATGGTTCAAGATAGATACTTTAGAGAAAAACGTCATCTTAAACTTTCATATGTTTGATTTTTCCTGATCTCTAGACTTGTAGGGATTCTCCAGTTGAAAGATAAGAGCGTTAGCAATTGGGACTTCAAACTGATGGATGAGCTCTGGACCATTAGTTTAAGTCAACATAGAGCTGGAAAAAGAAGTCGTGAAAGAAATGGCCCAAAAATCAGGTCGCTTTGGGACGTTAGTGTAATAAGCACTATTCACAAGCAAATCTGGAGGTTAGCGAGGGAGGTGGGATTCTCGTTGTTAGGCAGATTCAGTCGCTATAATGTGATGTAAAAGTTGCACAGTTGTTCAGAATTCACACGTTATTGCATCCATATACTTCTACGTCTTGCCTTAATAGTTTTATACTAACTTATTAAGATAAAAAGAAAGAAGATGTTAATGCCCAAAGTGGAATGTGATGTCAATTTGTGCTCATTTGATGGGACCGATATTTCTTCTACTAAAAATCCTTCTGCTAATGGTTTAACTGCCCCCATCGGAAGTTAATGAAAATCAAACGGCTAAAAATTTTTAAGTGCTGCGGCAAAAGATTTGTCCCAGTCAAAGAAATCCCCTATAATTAGAGTACTGTCACTTTCACCTCCTCTCTAATCACCGAACGTACTCCTATAATGTACTCAAATCATTCCCTATGAAATGATCAAACCGATGTGCGATGTGGTTGGGACTTGGTCAACGCTCTTATCTTGAGGACTTGCCGTGTATATTTCTTCATCCAGTCCCTTTTTTTTTTTTTTCTAGTTATCCACTTTGTTTAAAAGTTTAATTAACTAATATTTCCTTACCAGACCAAACAGAGTGTTAATGAATTCGGTAACGGATTCCTCCTATTTGGTAAAATTCCTTTCAGCGATTACAGTACAACGAGAAGGCCGAAAAACCCAATAACAACAGAAAGAGTAAGAGAAGTAGAGAACTTAAGTATTTCCTTGATTGGAGGAGAGTTTCAGGGTATTGTTCATTAATAATGTCAACCCATCTCAAATTCAACGCGTATTACGGCGGACATCACTACTAACACTTAAAAAGATTCTTATCATCAACCGCGTCGCCCTGGATTAATAATTAGTACCCGGACCGGATGGCCGGAACATAATTCCGACCTCAGAACTCCGGTACCAATTAAGCAAGAAGTTGTAAAAACTAAAAGCTGCTCATTTCCATCTCATTTGCAGAGAGAATTTGGGACAAAACAAAAGGATGGAAATTTGACTCTGTAAAATTAATCCTTCCATTTTATAATACACATTCAACCCTTAACAATTTGAAACAGCGATACGAAATTCACTAATCAATTCTTAAATTCATGCTCCAAATCATTCAAGAAAGTCAAATGCGCCATACATTCAAATTCAAGACATTGTCATTCTTTTTCTGCAACTAAGAATTCACAAACAATTTAACATTCATCAGGATCAAATTAACTACTAACACAATCCAAATGCGCACCACGGGGGCAACCCGAACAACGATACATCCAGCGCCCATTCTCAACAGGTCCATCACAAACATAGCAGTTGAACAAACTCTGCATCTCCGCTGCTTTTTTTCCCTTTCCATCATCTTTCGTTGCCGGAAAGGAAGATGAATACAGCAACACGAAAGGATGTTCGTGATCTTCGCGGTTTTCGACCTCAGGCAACGAAGCACACTCCACATGAAGATCGAAATTGCAAGTACTGCAATGATAACTGAAACCGTGACCCACATCGCCGCAGGCATTGCAAGTGAATTCGCCGCGGTAAGGCGGGTGAAACTGCAGGATCAGGCGGTGTTTCGGGTGGGAATTGTGCTTCAATTGCCTGGGGAGATCGGTGCAGGAATCGTGGAGGATGAAATCGCAGCTGGGCTTTGTACAATTGTAGGCCGCCCCTTGGAGTTGCAGCTCGCAACCGGAGCAGAGTAGCGCATCTTTTTCTTCGACTTCCAGGAGTTCTAAAGGATGCCTGTGGCTGAAATGGCTGAGTTTTGTCGGTTTGATCTCCGGGAACTCCATTTGTCTGCTTTTCTTGATCAAATGATTTGGATTTTTTGTAGATGGTACCTATAAATTTACAAAAATGAGATAGTTGTGGAAATGTGAAAGTCCGACCCTTGGGGCTAATTAATTTAGATTAGGGAATAAGGACCGTCCAAACCGTATGACTTTTGAATTTTTCAATATAATTACTCGTGGCCTTAACATTTAAAACTAAAGATTACAGAGCAGCAAAGCCATGTGGTTCTGAAAATTTCAGTTTACTTACCCCTGGTTTAGGAAGTTCAGTTATCTTTCTTACACTTTTGTTAAGTGTAGTTTAATTATTAGGGAAAAAAAACCTAAATCTCTTTAAAAGGACCTACTCAGCTCGAATCCTAATTAGTCGGATTAATGATTTCAGATACTCGGTGTATAATATACGAAGAAAAAGAAAATGAACCTAAATCATCCCTTTTGGCCTAAAAAATGAGATTAGTTTGTTCTACTGTTTCGTTACTACAAAAGTAACTTTTATTTTGAGACAAGGCAATACTAAAGATTGTATTAAGATCTATAATTAGTTATATCAGTAAGTCTATTCAACAGTAATGTGGTTCCGAATTCCACTGCCCAAAAAAATACTATTATAAATAATGCGTTAGTTAAGATTATTCCTTTTAGCAGTTCGTGGTCTCTATTCCTAGTTAAGATTATTCCTTTTAGTTGTTTGTAGTTTCTATTCGATGTGACAGATGTGGAATCAAAATGATTAACAAGTCTATATACACCCTCCGAATATTGGACGTTTTTCTTCAAGCTAAATCAGCCAATCAGGTGGAGGAATACAACGTGAAAGTGGGTGCGAATGGGATTAAGTATTACACCCAAGTTTCAGAAAGTTGGCTTTTAAGTGAAAACATATGGCCTTTTGGTTACACATTCAAGTGTAATGCCGCAATTTAATGTCATAAATCCATTATCGATGACATGTTAACCATTGTGTCTCATATTTGTGAGCAGTAGCGGATCTAAAACAAAAATATAGTGAGGACCATAATATATAATTAGAATAGTGTTTATTTCATCCATTCTGTACGAGTTTTTATAGTTTGATACAATGTATAATTATGTTCACATCAAATTTTACTTATTATAAATTATTTCACTACATTATAGTACTCTAATTTATTCAAGAAGTTCGATCCGATTCTACAAATGACTTTCTACTATTTTCTTAATTAGAAAACACCCTTTCTATAATGGTTATCTATAAGCTAATACTCCTTCCGTCCCATAATTATTATCCAATTTAAATAAGATGAAAGAATTTATTTTTGGTCAAACTTAACTATACTTTAACTTAAATTTTCGGATATACCCCTATGTATGTAAACCCCACAAAAAAATTATGGAACACAAGTTTTTTTTCTCACGCTAGCACCGAAGTACCCAATTCCTCAATTCGAAAATTCAATCAAAACTTAAGAACGTCATTCTTCACTATCAAGCCAATTTCTCAGATGAAAAATTTTGCATCTAAAGTTCAATTTGATGTTTATGGACATGGATTGGAGAGAGTACTTCTTTTCACTCCTCTCATCAACCACATGCCCCAAATCAACCATTTTCCCAATTTCCCACTCCACCACCAGCAGCCCCAATTTCCCACTTTGCCTCAAAGGTCTTCCCTTCCACCTCTTCCTGTTATCCTCCATGCCGGCCACCACTACCGTAACAAAACTAACCTTAACGTCATCTCACCAATCTTAATGACATCGCCGTCAGACATCTGGACAGGGAGAGAGGTTTTGAGCGAGTGCCGTTGGATGAACCTAAATGGATACTATCCATCCGCTTTTTTCTAGGCCGACCCGACTGAATTTGGTAATTGATGGCAAGGTGTACGGTGGAGACGTCGTTGTCGTTTATTAAGTAAAGTGTTCTATTGTGTGCAATGTTGTCAGGCTCGGCTCGGACGCCAACTCGGGAAGGCTAGGGTCAGGGGTTTTTGGGGTCGACTCGGTGACGTCATAATAATGTAATAATTAATTATTAATTATTAAAAATATATATTTAAAAAAATATGAAGTGCGTATACTTATATATATATATAATTATACATTTTCTCTTCATTGAGTACAATCATTTTTTTTTAATATAAATGTTAAACTTTCTTAACTATGAAAAACAACAACAAAAAATAAAGATAACTCAAAATTTAAAAGTAAGTTCCATTGACTAGTAAATAAGATCATGATTTTACATTTAATCCATAGAGAACACTACATCACTATTTCCAAGTTCTAAGACAAAATACCACATCCGTCCAGCCATATACAATTGAGTTATAAGTTCTAAGCATTTACATCAAAACTCAAAAGGATTGTATCCTACTGAGTTATATCAAAAGAAACTCTATACAATTGAGTACCATTATAATGCTCTAACTAAGCATTTACAACAAAAGGACTCAATTTCATGAGTTACAACAAAAACAAACTCAATTATATTGAGTACCAAAATTCTAGCTCTAGTCGTATATACTTCAAAAGTTCAATTTCATTGAATACTAAGTCATTAGTATAAGTATTCAACTTCATTCATAACCAAGGTCGTACTCATTACCGATAAACACTCTTGGTTCCACAAAATCACTACCATCATGAGAATCTTCATTGCCAACAACTTCAAAAAAACTAGAAGAACCAATGCCCACATCACCATCATCTTCTTCATCAAGAATCACAAACTTCCTTGTTTTACCTTAAAACAAGTTACGCATTATGCCAATATTCAAGAAGTTACATATATGTAAATATTCATGGTTGCATTATGCTTATATAAGAAAGATACTAGAAAAATGTTCTTAGGAAAAAAATTACTTACTTGTGATCTCTTCACCATCTCTAGGAAGCTCTTCTTCTATCATATCATCCAACTCATTTTCAAGTACATCGGTAACTTCTTCGATGACCCAAGACTCCGTTTTGTTAATACATTCATAATCAGTTGGATCATATTGCCTCTTTGAAAACCTTGTTACAAACAATAAAAATCAAATTAAGTAAATAAAATCACATTGAGTGTAATAAAAAGTACACTTCAATACCTATTTTTCAAGCGAAGATTGTAACAAACATAAGCAAGGCTATTAAGTCTCTCATGCTCCAATCTATTCCTTTTCTTGGTATGAATTCTTTCAAAGACACTCCAATTGCGCTCACAACCCGAAGAAGAAGCCATTTGACCCAAGAGCCTAGTAGCCAACTTTTGTAAATTGGGAGCATCACTCCCAAAATATCTCCACCATTGATTTATGTCAACCAAGTAATAATATTAAAACTTAAGACAATTAATAAAAAACACTAATTGAAAATGTTAAATGTTTAAAAGAAGAATACCTGGGGCAGTGTTAGCATAAGTCGTTTTAGCTAAAGCACACCCAAAGCTTTGATTTTGTGATCTAAACATCATAACTTCATTCATTACATCTTGAGAACATTCAATCTTGAATTTCTCTATCACATTCATCAAACTTTCCAAGCTTCGGACATTAAACCACGATTATCAACTTCATATTGGAATGTAGGATTCAACCAAAAAGCAGCTGCATGAAGATCTTTTTTCAATATAGAATCCCACCTATTGTCGATAATCTGAGTATAGGGCTCATACAATTTCTTGTTGTTGTTGAAAAGATTTTTTATAGCATTGATAGCTCTCCACAATCCATCATACACATATCCAAAGGATGGTCTCTCATCAGAATCACAAATGCGCAACAAACGCATTAAAGGCCCCATAATCTTCACTGCTACTAAACAATTATTCCAAAATTTTTCATTGAGAACAGTTTCCTTCACATCTTTACCTTTCTGATGTTTCAACTCTTTGACCTTATATTCTTGAGACGAAACCAAGGATTCCAAATGTACTCTGTGGTCATATAAACTTTTCAATGCAATGAATGTAGTACCAAATCTAGTCTCAGCTGGACGAACGATTTCTTTCCATCCAGGAATTTTTCTCAACCAACTCATAATCCATTGACGATTGTAAACAAATACAGTGACTCTAGAGGCAAGAGTAATCAAGCTGACAATTTTAGGCATACTTCCAATATCTTTCATAATCAAATTAACACAATGGGCATCACAGGGAGACCAACTAATTAGTGGATATCTTTCTTCAAGTAACCTCCCAGCAGCTTTGTAGTTAGCTGCATTGTCTATGACTAAATGAATCACATTTTCCTTACCAACCATGTCAACAATTTCAGCAAATAAATTACATAAATTTCCTGTACTTGACACAATATGTGATGCATCAACAGACTTGATAAATACCACACCATTAGGGCAATAAACCAAAAAATTAATCAAGCTTCTTTCCCTTTGATCTTTCCACCCATCACCCATGATAGTACAACCAGTGTCTACCCACATGCTACGAGAATTATCAACAAAAAATTCAACTTGTTTTTTGTTTCATTAAGCAAATGGACCCTAAGTGCATGATATGATGGGGCTTTATATCCATGACCCATGGATACCACTTTTGATATTGCTTGTTGAAAATATACAGAATTGGCAGCATTAAATGGGATACAAGCCTCATAGAACCATAGAGCCAAAGACATGTCTATTTCATGACATCTTTCCTTAGTTTGCAAACATGACTTGAGACTAGGTTGAGTGAAATTAGGGACTTTACCTGACATATAACCTTCAATCGCATGTTCAGCTTTTCTTTTCCCTTTGATTGATATCTCATTAAAGACTTTTGGAATTTCTTGAACATCATCACTTTCAATTTCAAAATCTACTCTCTTTTCTTTGGATTTTTCAACATTATCTTGTAATAACCCAGCTGCCAAAGAACAAACATCTGGAGGAACTTTTTTGCAAGGTGCTACATTGCCCTTTACCTTTCCAAGATGATGTTTGAGGCGATTAACACCCCCACCAGCCAAAGATTTCTCACAAAAGTTACAAATTATCAACTTCTTCCCTTTGTCGGTTACTCTTAAACTCCCATATTGCCATATCGGATCTCTCTTAAGCTTATGATTTTGCTCCGAGGAAAGCAAATCACCTTCTTCCATTGCTTTAAAATATCTAAAAAAAGCAAATAGAGTGAAACGATAATTAGTCTCTTTGTAAACCTCTTAAATATAATAAAAATATACTAAACTATAAACTAAATTTGTAATCAGACATTTCTTTTTTGTGCTCTATCAAAATTATGGCTGAAAATGTGAAGCTATAACTGAATTAAGTCTATGACATGATTCAAACATGAATTTTTATCAAGGTAACGGTTATATG